CATTGCAGAGATAAAAGCTGCTCTATATGGGCTGGAGTGGTGTGAACAACATGGATACAAAAGAGTGGAATTAGAAGTTGATTCAGAACTACTATGCAATTGGATCAAAAACACAATACAAATCCCATGGAGATATGAAGATCTTGTCCAACAAATCCAGCAAATAATTAGGAAAATGGAATATTTTCAATGTCATCACATTTACAGGGAAGCAAACAGCACTGCAGACTTGTTATCTAAATGTAGCCACAGCCTGGAATTAGTTCAACACATTTACACAACAAGACAACTTGAGGGAGCAATTAAAGGAAGCTATCTATTGGAGAAGATGGGCACACAAAATTTTAGAAGAAGGAAGCTAAAGAGAATAAAACATCCACCTTAGATATATTACAAGTTACTAAATGTAGTATATTACAAATGACATTAAATGTATTCATTAACTATTTTTAGTTAGTAGAATAGATTTACTCTCTATTATCCATGTAAAGGGAGAGTCTCCCTAGTTTATGCTTTCGCTAGGTATCTCTATAGAAGTGCATCATTTTGTATAAGGATGAATTCACTATCTTAGTAGATAAGTCAATTACATTCTACCAAAGTAGTAGAAGGTAAGGTACAATGCCCCCCTTCTTCTTGTATATTTTTCTAAATAAATGGTAAGGCCTGGGGGTGATGCTAAGCCCCTGACCCACTCCAAGGGTCGATTGCATAAAAAAAAACCCTAAACCCTAAACCCTAAACCCCATCGCTTTTTCATTTTACGGAATTTTCTCTCTCTAAAAATTTTCTCTTTCTAGAATTCTTTCAAGGTGTTCATCTTACGTTTAGCAAATTAACTAATCGTGGTGGAAATTTGTGTTTTGTCATGGCTGGGAATCCAGCGGATGAACGTTTTAGGCCTCCCGATCCATCTATAGGTGGTGGGAATCCTACAGTTCAATTATCGATTCAAGCGGTGGCGCATGAAGCGTCGTCTTCCTCTTTGCAACGGATGGAAGAAGCGGTGAACGTTGCGACTATAGAGGCTGAAATCGATGCATCGCGTCACTATCTTGCAACTGGGTACAATCCAAAAGATATGGGAAGTTTTGATGTCCAGGTTTTGGAAGCGAAATCGCATGCGATGGAAATCGCAAAATCGCATGCGATGGAGGCGGCGAGAGCGACTTTGAATACTACTTGATTAGATCGTTATAGACAACAATCAATTACTAGGGAATTATCTCAAGGTCTTGATATGGAAAATCAACAAAATTTGGAGTTAAGGGAAGATCGAAATCTTGATTCGCGACAAGAAGTTGCTATGGTAGAATCACGACAAGATGTTTCTATGGTAGAATCGCACAGGAATATTCAAACATCTGGAAATCGAGTGATTCATCAAACAGATAATCAATCCAAGAATTCCCAACAAGGATCTGATAATTCGAACAAGGTTTTTGAATCAAATCAACAAATCCAACAAATTACAAATCCCACTACCAAAACCCCTGTTTCGAGAGCTGCACCAGTTCATTCTACTCAGAATAGACCAAATGTAGGGAGTTCTTCTGAATTTCAAAATATTCAAGGTAATCCTATGATCACTACTAATACTTATGTTAGTCATGGTCAAGAAACTGGTAGAATGATTGAGGAAATTGTTAGAATTGGTAGACAAACTGATAGAGATACTAGTAGATACCAGGCTAATTTCCCAAAGATTACAAGTAATTTTGATCGTATTGTTCATCGAAATGAGTCTGAGAAAAATGATCATCCTATAGGCAATACTAACAACTCTTCTAAGAAAGATCAAATATCAGAACCTGCTCCTTATACAGTCATTCAAACCTATGCAGATAGGTTGAGATATAATCAATCTAAGAAGGGGGTCAGTGTCAAATTAAGTGAGCCTGAGATCACTACTAAACAAGGGTTACCTGCTGTTTTATATGTCAAAGATGAAGTAGTGAAAGACTTAGCTGAAACCTGCAAGTTTACATTGATTGGTAAATTCAATTATACTATGCCTAGGGTGGATTTAATTAGGAAAAATTTTATTCTACAAACACAACTTTCTGGTGGAGTGAAAATTGCTCATTTTAACTCAAGACATGTTTATATTGATCTTGATAATGAGTTGGACTATAATATGGTTTGGACTAAACAAAGAATGAATATTGCTGGTCAAATCATGAGAATACAAGCCTGGACACCTTCTTTTAAGCCAGAAGAAGAAACACCATTAGTCCCAATTTGGATTTCATTACCAGAATTACCATGGCACTGTTACAACAAGGAATTCATAACTAGTTTGTTGTTACCTATTGGGAGAGTTCTTTACCTGGATTCAGCTTCTATTAATAAGACAAGGGGCAGCCAAGCTAGAGTGAAAGTTCAAGTGGATTTAACTAAAAATAGACCCTCTCATATTTGGATGGGGTATATAGGGGAAGACATCACAGATGGAAGGTGGCAAAAGATTGAATATGACAATATCCCTGATTATTGTTTTTACTACAAGCATCAAGGTCATAAAGAGGAAGATTGTATAGTGAAAAGAAGAGATGAGGAAAATAAAAATAAGAAAGAACTGGAAAAAAACAGGACAAGGAAAGATAACCAAAAGACTACTACTGATGTGCAAACTCCTAATATTGATACTGGTAGAAATGAGGTAGAATATGATCAGCAAAAACAGCAAAATATGGACAACTCTCAACAAAGGATACAAGAGTACTGGCAAACCCAAAGGAGAAAAAATAGCAATCAACATGTTAGATTCAATACTGATAGGACAATGGTTCATCCACAACAATCTCAAACAGGTATAATTTCTATCCCTACCAAAAATACTTACATTGATCTAGAAGTGCAGGAATCTACTGAAGCTGGAGCTGGATTGGAACAACCAATTGAGAAAATACATGATCCTACTCCAAGACATGATGATGGGAGATATGAGCCTAAATAAAAAAGAAACAAACAACAAATGATGGAAATTCATGAAAACAGGACTATACAGGCTGATCAACAATTTGCTACTCTCAATAAATCAGGTATTGACTCAATGCTCTCCACCCCTGCAACCCTTTATATTGATACTGTTGGTGTAGCTGTTGGAGGTGAGGATGGAAGAGGTCAGGAGGATATTAGAGCTCAGCAGGTTAGATATGATAAAGGGAAAGATAAAGTATTTGAAGAAGGGACCTGTAGTAATGTTGAGAAAGAACCTCCTGATAAAAGTATTTTCAATATGCTTCAACAGATTAATGCTAAAACTAACAACAAAAATCAATCTATCACTGGTATATCCCATATTGACCATCAAAGAGATGTTAACTTTGATGAGTATAGAGAACCTGACTCTGAAGATGAGGATGATGTGGATACTCACTCTTTAGGGGAGGGTATGGAACCAGGAGAGGAAATTAACACCTCTGACCAATTTCAAAAGGAACCTTTGCTACAGTCTTCTAATATTGATGAGATTAGAGAAGTTACTGGCAAACAGGGCTTATCACCTAGAGGAAGAAAGATTGTAAAACAAAATAAGCTTACTAGTACTAGTAAGCCTAATACTAGAGCTAGGAGTAGAGGTAATTAATGATTAAATTCTTATGTTGGAATGTTAGGAGCATTAACACTTATGGTGTTCTTGAGAGATTGATCAATCTTAAGAAACTCCATAATCTGTCTATGATGGCTCTTTTAGAACCTTTCTCCAATCATGATAATATAGAGTCTTACAGAATGCCTTTACTCATGGATCATAGTTATAATAATATTAATAATAAGATTTGGATTTTTTGGTCTAATGAAATTACTTGTGATATTTTGGAAAGTGATCAACAGCAGGTGCTTGTGAGGTTAGTCCTGTAAATCATAGAGAGAAATTCATTATGACTTATGTATATGCCAAATGTAAGGAACATTTGAGGAAGCCTTTTTGGGATGTGATGTTACAAAGGTCTGAGACTATGAATCCTTGGTGTGTATTAGGTGATTTCAATGTAATAACTTCTATTAGTGAGAAACTGGGTGGTAGGGACTATAATATCAATAAGAGTCTGGAATTTATTACTATCATTGAGGCTTGTGGTTTAGTGGATATGGGATATCATGGACAAAATTTCACTTGGTGTAATCATAGGAGGGATGGTGCAAGAATATGGAAAAGACTGGATAGAGGTATGACTAATGACAAATGGGTTGAAACAATGCCTCACTCCAGTATTACTCATCTACCATCTGTTGGATCTGATCATAGCCCTTTATTGCTGGAAATAGGTGATATACAATCCAATATTATTAAATATTTTAAATTTCTGAATTGTTGGACTGAGAATGATAATTTTTTAGCAACAGTGGAAAATTGTTGGAAGAGAGAAGTTACTGGTAACCCTATGTGGATATTACATACAAAGTTGAGGAGGTTAACTAAGACTTTGAGAGGGTGGTCAAAACAGGAATATGGTGATGTTTTTGAAAGAGTAAAACATTATGAGGAGCTGGTGAAACAGGCTGAAAATGATATGTTCCTCAATAATAGTCCTGCAAATATTGAGAAATTGAATGTTGTCAATGCTAAATATATTAAGTACTTGAAGGTTGAACATAATATTCTGCAGCAAAAAACTCATTTACATTGGTTAAAAGAGGGTGATGCAAATACCAAGTATTTTCATGCTTTGATTAGAGGTAAAAGGAATAGAATAGCTATTCATAAGCTGATGGATGATAATGGAAATTGGATCCAAGGGGAAGACAAGATTGCCAAACTAGCTTGTGATTATTATGAACAGAACTTTACTGGTAAGGCTGAGAAAATTAAGGAAGAGAATCTCCATTGTATCAATAAGATGGTCACTCAAGCACAAAATGATGATTTAGATAGATTACCTGATGAAGATGAATTGAGAAGGATCATTATGAGTATGAATCCTAACTCAGCACCTGGTCCGGATGGTTTTGGAGGAAAATTCTACCAAACATGTTTTGATATTATCAAGAAGGATTTATTGGCTGCTGTTAACTACTTTTATATTGGTAATAGTATGCCTAAATACATGACTCATGCCTGCCTCATCTTACTCCCTAAAGTTGAACACCCCTGTAAATTAAAGGAGTTCAGACCCATCAGCCTTAGTAACTTTTCTAATAAAATCATTTCTAAGATCATGAGTACTAGATTAGCATCTATTTTACCTTGTGTAGTTTCAGAAAATCAATCAGGTTTTGTCAAAGGGAGGAGTATCTCTGAAAACATTTTATTGGCTCATGAAATTATTCATGGTATTAAAAAACCAAGAGATGGCAGTAATGTAGTTATTAAACTAGGTATGGTCAAAGCTTATGATAGAGTTTCCTGGACCTATACTTGTATTGTGTTAAGGAGAATGGGTTTCAGTGAAATCTTTATTGATAGAATTTGGAGGATTATGAGTAATAATTGGTATTCTATTGTTATAAATGGGAAGAGACATGGATTTTTTCATTCAAAGAGAGGTCTTAAACAAGGTGATCCCTTGTCTCCAGCACTTTTTGTTTTAGGTGCTGAAGTCTTTTCTAGACAGCTTAGCCTTCTTTATCAAAATCAGTTGTATAAAGGGTTCCATATGGAAAGCAATGGTCCTAAAATTAATCATCTTAGTTTTGCAGATGATATCATTATTTTTTCTTCTACTGATAACAATTCTCTTAATCTTATTATGAAGACTATTGATCAATATGAGGAAGTTTCTGATCAAAAAGTGAATAAAGATAAAAGCTTCTTTATGGTAACCTCTAATACTAGTCATGATATTATTGAGGAAATTTCTAGAATTACTGGTTTTAGTAGAAAAAACAGTCCTATCAATTATTTGGGATGTCCTTTATATGTTGGAGGGCAAAGAATCATCTACTATTCTGAGATTGTAGAGAAAGTGATCAAAAAAATTGCTGGCTGGCATTTAAAGATTTTAAACTTTGGGGGAAAGGTTACTCTTGTTAAACATGTCTTACAATCTATGCCTATCCATACTCTTAGTGCAATCTCTCCTCCAAAGACTATTTTAAACAGTATAAAAAAAGTGATTGCTGATTTCTTTTGGGGTATAGAGAAGGATGGTAAGAAGTACCATTGGTCATCTTGGAATAATATGGCTTTTCCAACTAATGAGGGAGGCATTGGAGTGAGGCTGATAGAAGATATGTGTACTGCCTTTCAATATAAGCAGTGGTGGGCCTTTAGGACCAACAATTCTTTATGGAGCAAATTCTTGAAAGCCAAGTATAATCAAAGAGCCAATCCAGTGGCAAAAAAATACAATACTGGAGATTCTATTGTATGGAGATATCTTACTAGAAATAGGCAAAAAGTGGAATCTCTTATAAAATGGCATATTCAATCTGGTACTTGTAGTTTTTGGTGGGATTGTTGGTTGGATAAACCTTTAGCTATGCAATGTGATCATGTATCTAGCCTGAATAACAGTGTTGTAGCTGATTTTCTTATAAATGGTAACTGGAATGAGAGGCTTCTTAGACAGCATGTACCACCTCAGTTAGTTCCTTATATTCTGCAAACCAAAATTAACTACCAAGCTGGCAATATAGACACTTCTATATGGACTCCTACAGAATCTGGACAATTTACTATTAGTTCTGCATGGGATAGCATTAGAAAGAAAAGAAATAAAGACCCTATTAATAATATTATATGGCATAAACAAATTCCTTTTAAAGTATCTTTTTTTATTTGGAGAGCTTTAAGAGGAAAATTGCCTACTAATGAAAATCTGCAGAGAATTGGTAAGAATCTATCTGATTGTTATTGTTGTTACAATAAAGGCAAAGATGACATTAATCATATTTTGATTAATGGCAACTTTGCCAAATATATTTGGAAGATTTATTCATCAGCAGTTGGAGTATTGCCTATTAATACAACTCTGAGAGATCTACTATTGCAGTGGAGGAATCAACAATATACAAATGAGGTACACAAGTTACTTATACATATTTTACCTAATTTTATTTGTTGGAATCTTTGGAAAAATAGGTGTGCTGTCAAGTATGGTTTGAAGAATTCCAGTATATACAGAGTACAATATGGCATTTTTAAGAACATTATGCAGGTGATCACAATTGTGTTCCCCAGTATACCATGGCAAACTAGTTGGAACAATCTTATTAATATAGTGGAACAATGTAAACAACATTACAAGATTCTCATAGTTAAGTGGAATAAACCAGACTTAGGCAAATATAAACTCAATACAGATGGGAGTGCTTTACAAAACTCAGGTAAGATTGGAGGAGGTGGAATTCTAAGGGACAATCAAGGTAAAATAATATATGCATTTTCTTTACCTTTTGGATTTGGAACTAATAATTTTGCAGAAATCAAAGCTGCATTACATGGGCTGGATTGGTGTGAGCAACATGGTTACAAGAAGATTGAGTTGGAAGTTGATTCAAAGCTGTTGTGCAATTGGATCAATAGCAACATTAATATACCTTGGAGATATGAAGAACTAATTCAACAAATTCATCAAATAATTAGGAAAATGGACCAGTTTCAATGCCATCACATATATAGAGAGGCAAACTGTACAGCTGATTTATTATCAAAATGGAGTCACAATCTGGAAATTCTACAAAAATTTTATACAACAAGACAACTTAAAGAACCAATTAGAGGAAGCTACTTATTGGAGAAAATGGGAGTACAAAACTTTAGAAGAAGGAAGCTCAAGAGAATAAAACAGCCTCCTTAGATATTGTTCTCTTTGATGATTATCTAGCATTGCAAATGACATTAAATTTATTCATTAACTTTTGTAGTTAGTAGAATAGATTTACAATTTCATTATTCATGTAAAGGGAGAGTCTCCCTAATTTATGCTTTCTTGAAATTATATTAAGAGAGGAGTCCTCTCTAGGTATTAATTTCTATAGATGTGCATCTTATTGTAATAGGTTGAATTGACTATCTTAGTAGATAAGTCAATTACATACCTACCAAATTATAGAAGGTAAGGTGAATGTCCCCCTTCTTGTAAATTTTATTTCTATAAATGTTAAGGCCTGGGGGTGATTCTAAGCCCCTGACCCACCTCAAGGGTCGTTCCCAAAAAAAACAAAAAAAAACCCTAAACCCTAAACCCAAACCCTAAACCCTAAACCCTAAACCCTATCGCCTTTTCATTTTTCAGATTTTTTCTCTCTCTAAAAATTTTCTCTCTAAAAAATTTTCTCTCTCTAAAAAATTTTCAAGGATCGTTCGTGTTCTTTGTTGCTGATCGTCATAATTGATTAGCAAGTTGTGTCGAAATGGATGGAAATCCAACTGATGGAAGATTTCGACCCCCAGATCAATTGATAGGGGTTGAAAATTTTAATGTACAGGCCACAAATATCGAATTGACGGAAGGAGCATCGTCCTCCTCTTCGCACTTGAGGGAAGAAGCGATCCAAGTCGCAACTGTAGAGGCGGACATGGATGAATTACATCGCCAAGTCAAAATACGTTTAAATACTACTGGCACGACGGGGGAAATACTAAGGGTGGAGGATCAGTCGAATTTGGAAATGGTCGAGTTGTTGGCGATAGAGGAAGCGAAATCGCGAGTGATGGAGGCGGCGAAATTGCATGCGATAGAGGCGGCGAAATTGCAAGCGTTGGAGTTAGCGAAATCGAGATCTGAGATTAGTCGATTGGAAGTTTCTCGACAACAATTGCTTTCGGGGGAACTATCTCAAGGGGATTTATCTCGAAGTATTGATACCCAGATTCAACAAGGTTTGGAAGGAGGGGGAGATCGAAACCTTGATTCTAGACAAGAAACTCGAATTGGGGAATCATCTTTAGGTCGCGAATCACATTCTCAACAGATTGATGGAACAAAAGATGATGCGCGACAGGAAGTTGAGAAGATCTATCGCAAGGGCGAAATCGCGATGGTCAAAATCCACAAGTTAATCGATCTGTTCAAAATCAGCAAAGAAATCCTAATTTTACCAAGGAAAAGGAGATTGATCAACAAAGAAATCCCAATTCTAACACGGACAAGGAGATTAAACAACAAAATCCAAGGTCTAATCGATTTCTTGCTTCTAAGGAGGCAGCATATACTTCTCAAAACCGTCAATCTGGTATTCTCTCATCTGAAATTCCTACTAGTGGCCATAATGTTCAAGGTAATATCGTCTCTACCAACTTTAATCCCAAGAATGATGAATTGGTGAATGTTACTGATAGAACTAACATTGTTTCTGTTAGAAATCAAGATTATCAACATAACTTTCCTAAATTGACTAGTAACTTTGATAGAAATTTACCTAGAATTGGGAATGAGAAACAGGATCCTCCTTCAGGAACTAACAATTTTCCTAAGAAAGATCATATACCTGAACCTGCTCCCTATACAGTTATACAAACTTATGCAGACAGGCTTAGATATAATCAATCCAAACGAGGGGAAAACATTAAGCTAACAGACCCTGAAATTACTACTAAACAAGGCTTACCTGCAGTTTTATATGTCAAAGAGGAAGTAGTTAAAGATCTGGCCTCTACTTGTAAATTTACCTTAATAGGAAAGTTCATCTATACAATGCCTAGAATTGAACTAATAAGGAAAAATTTTATTCTCCAAACACAATTGTCTGGGGGTGTTAAAATAGCCCATTTTAATTCTAGACATGTTTATATAGATCTTGATAATGAACTAGACTACAACATGGTATGGACTAAACAAAGAATGACAATTGCAGGGCAAGTAATGAGAATTCAGGCATGGACTCCAAATTTTACACCTGAGGAAGAAACTCCTTTGGTTCCAATCTGGATCTCCTTGCCTGAATTGTCATGGCATTGCTACAATAAACAGTTTATTACTAGCTTACTCTCACCTATAGGTAGAGTTTTGTATTTTGATTCAGCCTCCATTAACAAAACTAGAGGTAGTCAAGCTAGAGTTAAGGTGCAGGTTGACTTAACCAAGGACAGACCCCCACACATTTGGATGGGATACATAGGTGAAGAAATTACTGATGGAAGGTGGCAAAAGATAGAATATGATAGCATTCCTAACTATTGTTTTTACTGCAAACATCAAGGCCATAAGGAGTCTGATTGTATAGTTAAACAGAGGGATGAGGAAAATAAAAAAAGAAAAGACTTAGAAAAAAACAAAAATAGAAAAGACAATGTTCAACATGTTTCTGCAGATTTACAGACTACTCAGAATTTGGACACTGGTAGAACAGAGATAGACTATCATCAACTACAACAACAAGGTGTTGAAGCTCAGCAACAAGGGATTCAAGAAGAATGGCAAACACAAAAGAGAAGGAACAATAATCAACAAGTTAGATTCAACCATGACAGGATTGTATCTCATCAACAACAGTCTCAAACAGGTATGATTACCATTCCTACTAAAAACACTTACATTGATCTAGAATCACAGGATCATACACCTGTTGGAGATGGAATGGATCAATACAATGTCTATCAGCATGATCAAAGTCATGGATACACTGAAGGAACTCATATACAGAAGGAAAAAAGAAATAAGCAGTCAAGAGTGGAAACTCAAGTTATTAAAGATCATCAGGCTGATTATCAACATGACAATCAAAATACAGCAGGTATTGACTCAATGCTCCACTCCCCTACAATCCCTTATAGAGATAATGTTGGTGTAGCTGATGGAGGTGAGGTTGGAAGATGTCAGGTGGCTATTAGTTCTCAGCATGTTAATTATGATAAAGGAAAAAATAAAGTTGTTGAACAGGGGACCACTAGTTATGTGGAGAAAGAACCCCCTGATAAACAGACTGTTAATATTTCTGATCAAATTATTAATAAAAATAATAATAAAACTCAAACTACTACTGGTAATGACCCTATTGACCACCAACAAGATAAGAATGTTGATGAGTATAGGGCACCTGATTCTGAAGATGAGTTTGATTTGGACACTCAATCTTTAGAAGAAGGTATTGAACCAGGAGAGGAATTTACCACCTCTGATCAGATTCATAAGGGTCCTTTGATTCAATCCTCTAATGCTGATGAAATTAGAGATGTAACTGGCAAACAAGGGCTTTCTCCTAGAGGCAGAAAACTTTTAAAACAAAATAAAAATACTAGTACAAGTAAACCTAATACTAGAGCTAGAAGTAGAGGAATTTAATGATTAAGCTCTTATGTTGGAATGTGAGGAACATAAATACTTTTGGTGCTCTAGAGAGATTGATTAACCTTAGAAAGATTCATAATCTGTCTATGCTGGCTATTTTAGAACCTTTTTCTAATCAAACTCATATAGATTCTTGCAGAATGGAGTTGATCATGAATCATAGTTTTAGTAATATTAATAACAAAATCTGGCTTTTTTGGTCTAATGAGATTAGTTGTGATATTTTGGAAAGTGATCAGCAACAGGTGACTTGTGAAGTGAGTCATGTGAATTGCAGTGAGAAATTCATTATTACCTATGTATATGCTAAGTGTAAGGATCAGTTAAGGAAACCACTTTGGGATGTTATGTTAAAGAGATCTGAAACCAGGTACCCTTGGAGTATAATAGGAGATTTCAATGTTATCACATCCACTAATGAAAAGCTGGGAGGTAGAGAGTATAACATTAATAAGAGTTTGGAGTTTATTAGTATTATTGAAGCATGTGGTTTAGTTGATATGGGCTATCATGGTCAGGATTATACTTGGTGTAATCATAGAAGAGATGGAGCAAGGATTTGGAAAAGACTGGATAGGGGTATGACTAATGATAAATGGATTGAAAAAATGCCTCATTCTAGTATTACTCATCTGCCTTCAGTAGGGTCTGATCATTGTCCTTTATTGATGGAAATAT